ATTGTTTGCTCCTGGCAACAATAATGTCTGAATGGACACTTATGATGCATCTGTCTCATGGTGCACATGGCAATCGTCCCAGAAATAGCATTGCTACAATATTCAACTTTAGAAGATGATGCTGCATTAGTTTTCAAAGTGATTATATTGGTCTTCACGCCCATCAGAAATGTGTTAGAGTCCTCACTGATCCACAGCTCTAGCATTTGGCATTTTTAAAATAGATTTTATAGATTTTATAGATATTCAAAATGTATCTTGTGATCTCTATTTGGATTGAGAACAACTATTGCTAAAATTGATAATCTTTTTAGATATGTATTCATCACTCATGTTTCCTCTTCTGAGCATTATCTTTCATCTCTGTGGCCTATTTCTCTATTGATTGTCCTTTTTTATTGATTTGTACTTGTTTAAGAAAACCATCCTATTTTGAGGACGTGAGCATATTGTTTTAGTTAATTTTTCCTTTTACATGTATGTCCTTAATCCATCTCAAATTGATTTTTGAGTATTATATGTGAATAGCCAATTATTTTAGGACTGGTTTTTAAATAGTCCATTCTTTACACAAAAATCTCCTTTGCCTGATCTGTCACACAACTAGTTTTAATATTTGTATCTTTTTTTCTGCTATTTTGTTTAGTTAAATGAATCTTTTTTTTTCCTTCATTGGTACCATACTGTCCTGATGACTATAGTTTCATAATAAGTATTGATAGATGGTAAGAATTTAAATCTATAAACTTCCTCCAAAGTTAAGCTGTTGCTCCTTCCCATAGTGCTAATATGCAGTCCTTACACTTGATAACCACCCACCACTCCCTCTACCCTGGTCCTTCCCCTAAAACCCTGGGGTCACCAGTGCCGGCCGCTGGCTCTGTCTTGAGCTAGTGCTCAAGCTGTACCGGCTGTTAAATCTTTGGAATCTCACCTCTGCCTTCACCTATCAAAACTGAGAGAATTTTTTAAACTTTTAAAAATAATTGTTGGATCCACCTGTTCATTCTAGGCCATCTCTGTTCATTGTTCCATTTCTTAGATTTCCTTAAACATTTTATACACAGCTATTCTATACTCTATACCCAACAACTGCAGTATCTGAAGTCCTTGAGAATCTAAAACCGTTGTTTATTCTTCCTGACATTTCCTACTGACAGGTGGTTCACATCTGCATATACAAGATGATTTCTGATGGAGGACCCATATTTGTTTTTGATCTTACTGTGGAGGAATTCTGTGGACTTAGTTAACTGAGGACTGCCTCCTCCAAAAACAATTCATCTCTGCCCCACCTGGAAAACAGAAAGTACTGCACACCTGGGCCAACTCTAGTCTCTTTCTCAAACCTCTAAGTTTAATGTTAGAGTCTCTATTCAATTGCCCCAATTTACTGCCAGCCCAAGGAACCAAATCCCAGTGCTATTAGCATTTACCCTCAGGGCAACCTTGTTCCTATTCTTGCTCTCTGCCCACAGTTCCCACTTCCAGTTTTGGTCCACAAGTTGGTCCTTTAATTTGGGGGGAGGAGTGGAAATGAAAAGATCTTTGGAGATCTCTATTTTCTGCATGCTCAGCAGTGTGTCAAGAAGCATACATTCATTATTCAGAATCTATTGTTTTGCAGCAGGAGGGCCCATCTTAGGAAACCTGCTAGCCGTACTGCCTGAAGTGGAAGACTGCCTGGCTTTTCTTGGCTTTATGTTCTGCCGTCTAGATTTTAGAGTCATCCTGTCAGTCTACACACACACAAACACAGAGCTTTGTTGTGATCTTTATTGGGATTCCATTGGATTTATAAATTAATCTATAGAGAATTAACATATAAATATGATATTGAGTCTTCCTGTTCATAATTATCATATATCTCTGCATTTACTCTTCATCCAGTTTTTATCATCTCTTCCATTTTTTTCTATATTCTTGAGTACATTATACTTTTTGTCACTATTGTAAATAATACCTTTAAAAAATTATACCTCCTGTTTGTTCCTGAAGAATGGAGTTAATTTTGCATATTGACCTTATATCCAGCAATATTGCTCAACTATCTTATTTAATTTAAATATCTGAAAATCTAATTGGGTTTTCTATATAAATGTATCATACTGGAATAATGGTGGTTTTTCTTTCTTTCCAATTTGTATATAATTTACTTCCTTTTAGTGTCTTATTCTAATGGCTGAGAACTGCTCTAAATGTTGAATGGAAGTGATGATGCCGGTCATCCTCATCTCCTTCCTAATATTTGCTATAGGGTTTTTTAATTTCTTAAAGGAGTTTTCATCTATTTCAAGTTTATTAGGCACCTTTAGGGTTGAAATATCAACTGCTATTTTGAAGCTGTTGAGATTATCATAAGGTTTTTCTTATTTAATGTGAATTCCATTAATAGATTATATTATGTTAAAATGTTATAATACAAGAATAAACAAAACTTGGTCATAATGCATATTTAATATGTTATTGAATTTAGTTGTCAGTATTTTGCTTAGGATTTTTGCATTTAGGTTCACAGGGAAGAATTTTCCTCTCATTCTTTTTATATCTAGGTTTGTCTTCTTTGCTTTCTTAAAGAAAACCAATTATTCCAACACAGTTTATATAATGTGCTATTTTTATCACTGTTATAAGCATCTGTCTCTCGACTCTCTTCTGTTCCTTTATCAACTCCACACTATTTTATTCTTATAGATTTTTGGTACATTTTGATGTGTACAAAGCCCTTCTTTTCCAAAAATTTCTTGTCAACACTTGTTTATTTTTTCTTTCACGTAAATGTATGTAATTTTTTACAATTGAAGTATCATTAATTTACAGTATTATTTTGGTTTCTGGTGTATGACTTAGTGATTTGATGGTTATCTACATTATAAAATACATACAGTGTTTTGTTTGACATTGGTTTAAAGCTAGAGGCTACTTAGGATCCATCACAGGGAGTTTTTATAAACCCAGAATTTATGAGAAAAATATGTTGTATAAAAGGAATATATAGGAAAGACATATTTTATAAAACATATTTAGACTATTATAACTGTATTTTATATAAACTTCTTGATAGCCACAAATAAAATACCTATAAAAGTCAACCAAAAGAAAAATAGAAAGAATCAAGAGCTATTAATACAAAAAACAAAAACAAAATAACGAAACACAAAGGAAGGCAGCAAGAGAGGAAGAAGGAGCAAAGAACTGTAAGACAAACAGAAAACAGTTAACAAAATGGCAATAGTAAATCCTTCCTTATCAGTGATTATCTTAAGTATGAATGGACTTAAACTCTCCAATAAAAAGGTACGGAGTGGTCGAATGGATAAAAAACCAAGACCAAGTTGTATGCTGTCTACAACAAACTCACTCTAAATTCAAAGACATGCAAAGGGGAAAGTGAAGGGATAGAAAAAGATATTCTATAGAAAATGGTAACCAAAAAAAAAGCGGAAGTGGCTATACTAATACCAGACAAAGTATATTTTAAGTCAGAAACTATTTAGAGACAAAGAAGGTCATTGGTAAAGGGTCAATTCAATAGGAAGATATAGCAATTATAAATATCTATGCACTCAATATCAGAGCACCTAATATATAAAACAAATTTTGACAGATTTAAAAGGAGAAATCAGCAGTGCAATAATAGTAAGAGATTTCAATACTCCACTTTCAATAATGGAGAGAACATCTAGATGGAAAATCAAGACTTGAACAAACCAGACCTAATAGACATACATGGCACTTTTTACCCAATAGAAAATAAAAAACACATTAGATCACAAAACAAGTCTTAACAAATTTAAGAAGATTAAAATCATACCAAGTATCTTTTGTGACCACAGTGAAATGAAACTAGAAATCAATAACAGTAAATACAGAAAAATTCACACTATGTGGAAAGTAACATACTCTTAAACAACCACTGGGTCAAAGAGAAAAATTAAAAGGGAACTTTAAAAAAGGTTTCTATATATATATATGTATACATCTACAAAGATACATAGTATGTACATACACACACATACACACACATAGATACATAGTATGTACACACACGCATACAGAGAAATTTACTTTTTACTGTTAATTACTCTTCCTTGAATTTCAGAAATGTGGCAGTTTTGTTAATATTAAAACTTGATAGAACTGTAAGAAAATAATTATTCTATTATTCTGTATAATTATTCTATGAATTATACAGATTATAGTTTAGGTAATTTGCATCTATTATGTGAAAGCTGGAAGCTCTTGTTTCAGAGAGCAGAAGGCAGGTTTTGAATCATCAAATAAGGAACAGTTCTGCACCACTGTAGAAAGTAAATTTCCTCATAGGTCCTTGCTCAAAGTTAAAAGTGCCATTGAGCAAGCAGCACATACTGTGTGAGGACCAAACCTGTCTTCCTATAGTAGCATTTGTGTTATTGATGGTGCCTGAGAGGCCAAAGCAAGGCCAAAATTCACTTCAATTTGTAGCCATCCTAAATTGAACGTTTGTTTCTTAAAATTATAGCTTTCACAGATTCCGCCATGAATCACTTACCTTCTTCTCCATTTGGCAGTCTGATTTTAGCTCCTTTTGTAGGATGAGTATTCAAGTCAGCCACAAAGACCTCTGAATGCAAGAACTGCTTTCTACAGAGACAAATTAAATGGCCTGGGATCTGTTCCAGGATACGCTCCTCGTTTGAGAAATTTTATGGAAAATAGAAGTTGCAGATTTTATACACACACACACATACATTTTTCTCATACTACCAGTAAGAGCTTTGTACAGAGTCTTGCCCATGCACTTTAATTTATTTAAAGGTGATGGTGAATCTTTCTCTGTATGTGGTTGGAAATTTGGAAACTAAATTTCCTTCTAGTCTGAACTCAAAATTCAGAAGAGAACAATGAAATATCCCACACATTTTCAAATTAACCTGTTGGAGTTTACTATTACTTTTCTGGTAGAAGACATGAAACTTCTGGCTTGGAAATGAAGGACTGTATTACAGCAAAAGCAGTAGCCACAGCTTTGTGTTGTGTTGGGTCAGTTCCCCATGCCCCTCACATCTCAGGGGGTGATGCGAAGGACCCACCACAGAGCCCTGGTGCACATGGGCTACACTACCGGAGAGGAGCACCAAGCTTGGGGAATTTGCTGCCTCTGTAGTGAGCCTATGCTTTGCCTGGGGGAGATGTTTCCTCCTCCCTCAAGATTGCTTGTGGCAAACCTTGTTACCTGGGAGGTGGGCAAGGTAAAGAGCAGTCAAGGTTTGTATTCTTGGTACGTCCGGCAAGAACTCACAAGCATGCTCAGGGTCATGGCAGGCTGCTTCTCCCAACATAGCTCTACAGTGAGTGTCGGGGAATAGTCCGTGACCAGTGTCCCGCTAGCATCACAAGGCAATAAAGAATACATGGTACAGGCTGCCCTGAGGCTTCAAAGGAGGAAAAGTGCCTTAGGATATCAGAAGAGACACTGAAGGAAATGAATTCAACCTGGTCTTGAAAATGGAGTCACACTTGGATCTGAGAGGTGAAGAAGCGTAAGAGGGAACTGTGAGAGGCCTTTTAAGTACTACACCTGGGAAAGGCGAATTAGAAGAGGCAGAGAGAGTGTTTGGGAAGCTGGGTAAGTTATCCAGATATGTAAGTGTGAATGAAGACGTGAGCTGGACGGTCACTGGATTCAGAAAGGGGTGGACAGATTGGAAAAAGACCTACAGGAGACACTTCAGTTGGATACCATGAGGTGATCTGAGGACTATGTGTCCAGAATTTTGAAATTTTCATGTATTTGCTTCATGCTCAGAGCAGAACAATCTGGTTGTATTTTAATGCAGGAAGTTCTGCACCCTGGAAGTCCCTGAGCTTGGTCCTCCACACCTTGGATGGGGTACTTTCTCTTGTTGTAACACATCACCATTTCTACTGTCTTTTTCAACATCCTGTTTTCCCAAATTTAAATCTTGTTCCTGCCATGAAAGACCCTCTAAGATACTGATCGCTGTGTCAGCAATTGGGAATCTTCAAGAGAATAAAAGCCTGACTCCCATCCCTTGTGATTATAACACATGAATAATTACTGTTGGCTGTTGGTTTCACTGCTTAGTTTTTATGTTATGGGCCTTTCCTTACTTCCCATCATTATGCCTTGGCTAATACAATTCTCCTATGGGATCTCTTTCTTTATTCAAAGAAAAAAATGTAGGAAAAAAAACTGGCAAATGGGCAAATAGAAATGAATAAAATACCATTTGTCCTGTGGACAGCAATATTTCCACCAACAAAAGGAATCAAACTCCTGGATTTTTAATGTTTCTTAAGGTGTAATTTCTCATGGCTGTCACTTTTCTCAGGCCACTGTGCTATTAATATTTAGAATTTACTTAGGTTGGAGAGAATTTTAAAAGAATTCATAATTTGTAGGTTTATGTAAGTATCTCCTCTTTGTTTTATACATGATTGATTACATACACAATTTCCTTACTTTTCTTAAAGTATGCAAAATGGACAGCAGCAAAATTTAGTATCCACAGTGAAAGACCTGTCTTGTTTTCACACTTGCCATTTTGAAGGCCCTGTAAAGAGATTTTATAGAACACAGATTTCAGTACTTGCAGAGGACACTCTGATAAAGTTGTCAAAGGGCAGAGGTAAAGGCATTATTTAAGTCAGAAAGAGAATTCCTACAAAACAAAGAAACACAATTCCAGGTGATAAGCAGTTATCCAGAAAAAAAACAAGCATTTAAACAGTTGGAAGGCGTAAAAAAGAAGTGTTCCTGAGGTGTGTTTCAAATGAACACACTGCACAGGACATAAAGCAGTGTTTGCTTCATGGTACGTATTCACAAAATGAGCTGTAATTTGTGTTTATTCTTTTGTGAGTAGTTTTATTTGGTTGCAAATAAAACTACACACAAAATTAATGTTATTTTCAGAAGGGCATTCATTTCAATGATAATGAAACTTGTGGTCAATAACATTGACATTTTTAGATTGAGGACAAGGCAAAGGTATGATTTACATTTTTAGTTATAGCACACTGAGATACATCATTATTTAGTTCTAATTGGATCGCCCCCCTGAGAGATATAGTTAAGATTTCTACATATTATCTCAGGTTATTCCCCAGTCCATCTTTAAGGTAAGGGTGGTAATTTCATCCACAAATGTCGTCTTCTCTAGAGAGTCCAGAGGACCCCAATCCTCTGAAGTCTGGAGGCAGGAATGAGTGAGCGCAAGGCCATCAGAGGCATCAAGAGCCCCCACAGGTAGAGGCACATCTTGACCATAGGGATGCCCACTCTGCATCTCCCTTGAGTGCTCCAGCCTCACATTTCCAGCTGATCACTAAGATCTCCCTGGCAGGTCAGCTTCTGCTTGACCCAGACCACACTGGTCATTCTGATACTGCTCCTCTCAGCCCCTGGCACAGCTCCTGGCATCTCATGCTCACATTCACAAGGATGCCTCAGAATCACCTACCAGTTCTCCCATCCCAGTCTGCTGCCAATCAATGGCCGTGCCCTGTGGGTTTCACCTTCCAAGTTGCTCCCTGACTCCCAACCTCCACACTCCCTCCAGGAGTCCTGGCTTCAGCCCTCTGCTGCTGCATCTGACTGGTCACCCCCGTGTTTTCAGCCTCTCATGTCAACGGATGTTTACTGAGCTCCGACTATATTCCAGGCTCTGTGCTGGAAAAGGTATCTTTCTGTCATTTGTGAAAGCAAGTTGCATTGCTTTCTCAACAACACACTTCTTTAGAGGTATTTCGTCACCTACAAAGTAAAATCCAGACTCCTTAGCCTCTCTCCAACCCCACTCTGTGCAAGCTGTTTCCCACACCTGAGCTCCCATCCGGCCCCATCTTCCCTGACTGCAGGAGCAGGGAGGACCCTTGTGGCAGCCACAGTAACATTGCACAGGCTACTACAGGCAGCTGGCTGAGCCCGGCAACAACCACTTAGAAAAGTGAAGTGAAAAAGCCACCAAAAGCTTTTGGTCAAGATGGAATTACAGAAACTGGATGTAGCCTCCCACCTGAAACGAACAAAAAAACAGACAAAATATAAAACACTGAACATCAGGTAATGAAGGACATGATCCCTGATATATATGGTCAACAAGTGAGGTGAGCCCTACAATTGCCCAGCTTACATCTTGAGAAAGTCTCCAGGATGCATTTCAGGGTAGGGAAACTTGGGGGGAATTCCTGCAGACAGCCTGAGTTGGAGAGACAGAGCTAAGGAGCTGAGGGAAGCTAAAACCTCAGGATTGGAGTTCTCAGACCAGAGAACTGGAGGGGAGAAAACTGCAGCGAGAGAGCTCCGAGATCTTCAGAGGGTTCCCCAGAGTTCCAGCTGAACACTGATCAGCCCATGCACATGAAGAAACTGTTTGAGTCTAGGAAAAGAACCACCCAGAAAGATTAGAGATAACAGTGTCTGGGTTCACATGGGTCCGGGAGTAGTACCTGTTCCCACATTGCTCTGTGTACTCAGAACATTCTTACCTCAGGAGTGGGCAATAACTGGCACTGGACTGAGCCATGCTTCATTTCTGCCTAACAGGTCTTAAAAATAAGACTCAGTTCTCTGTTTTCACATTTGCATTGGTTTATATAACCTTGGGAATGTGTTTAAACACAGTCTATGAACTTCATCCTCCATGATATTATAATCACACCCCTTTCTGCTATTTTACAAGGCAGCTTTGAGAACAAATAGCAGGTTCTGAGGGAGGAGATTGAGCAAGGACTTCTGTAGTCACAAGCAACTTACAGGAGTTTGTGGAGAACTTTTTCCTAAAGGATGCTGTAGATTAGAATATATGGGTTCATATATGCATGAGCAAGCCCTAGGAAAGCTCCCAGACTAGAGAGTCATTTGGGCACATTCCTAATGCATGTGTGATGCATGTCGGTGAGGAAATACAATCAGTATTTCCACCCTTCTTGAGGATTTGTCATCCCTGGATTAGATCATTGAAAATAACCTCATTAATACCTTGTCTTTCTGGTGAAATATCCACTTTTCCTTTTTGAGTATATACAGTACTTTGTGCATTTTTGCATGAATAAGACTAAAATGAAGGATATCATTAAAAGCATACCTTGTTTTACGGCACTTTACACATGCTGCATTTTTCGTAAATTGAAGGTTTGTGGCAACCCTGCATTAAGCAAGTCTATCAGCAATATTTCAAACTTTTTCATTGTGTTTGTTAGGCTGATCTGAGTATTTCAAACTTTTTCATTGTGTTTGTTAGGCTGATCTGTGATCATTGGTGTTACTATTATAATAATTTTGGGACACCACGAACTATGCCCATAAAAGACAGGGAACTTAATTGACAAATGTTATGTGTGTTCTGACTGCTCCACCAACCGGCCGTTCTCCCATCCCTCTTCCTTTCCTTCCTAATCCCTGAGACACAACAATATTGAAATTAGGCCAATTAGTAAACCAATAATGGCCTCTAAGTGTTCAAGTGGAAGGAAGAATTGCACAACTTTCACTAAAAATCAAAAGCTAAAAATGATGAAACTTAGTAAGGAAGGCATGTTGAAAACTGAGATAGGTTGAAAGGAGGCCTCTTGTACCATACAATTACCCAAGTTGTGAATGCAAAGGAAAAGTCATTGAAAGAAATTAAAAGTGCTATCCAGTGAACACACGAATGATAAGTAAGTAAAACAGCCTTATTCCTGATATGGAAAAAGTTTTAGCAGCCTGGATGAAAGATCAAACCAGCCACAACATTCCCTTATGCCAAAGCCTACCCCAGAGCAAGGCTCTAACTCTTTAATTGTATGAAGGCTGAGAGAGGTTAGGAAGGTGCAGAAGAAAAGTCTGAAGCAAGCAGGAATTGGTTCAAGAGGTGTAAGGCAAGGAGCCATCTCCATCAGATAAAAGCACCAGGTGAAGCAGCAAGTGCTGATGTAGAAGCTGCAGCAAATAATCCAGAAGATCGAGCTGAGACCATTAATGAAGGTGGCTACACTAAACAACACATTTTCAGTGTAGACAAAGCAGCCTTAAATTAAAAGGTGCTATCAGGACTCTCATAGGTAGAGAGGAGAAGTCAATGCCTGGCTTCAAAGTTTCAAAGGAGAGGCCAGTTCTCTTGTTAGGGGCTAATGCAGTTGGTGGCTCTAAGTTGAAGCCTATGCTCATTTATCATTCTGAAAATCCTAGGGCCCTTAAGAATTATGCTAAAATCTACTCTGCCTGTGCTCTATAAGTGGAGCAACAAAGTCCGGAGACAGCACAACTGTTTACAACATGGTTTAGAATATGGCCTACTGAATGTTTTAAGCTGTTGAGACCTGCTCAGAAAAGAGTCCTTTCAAAATAATACTGCTCATTGACAATGCACCAAGAGCTCTGATGGAGATGGACAAGATAAATGTTGTTTTCATGCCTTTTAATACAATATTCATTCTTCAGCCCATGGATCAAGGAATCATTTTGACTTTGCAATCCTATTATTTAAGAAGTACATTTCATAAGGCTATAGCTACCATAGGTGGTGATTCCTCTGATGGACGTGGGCAAAGTAAATCGAAAACCTTCTGGAAAGGGTTCACCATTTTAGAAGCCATTAAGAACATTTGTGGTTCATGGGAAGAAGTCAAGATATCCACATTAACAGGAGTTTGGAATAAGTTTATTCTAACCCTCCTGGATAACTTTGAGGGGTTCAAGATTTCAGTGGAGGAAGTCACTGCAGATGTGGTGGAAATAGCAAGAGAATTAGAATTAGAAGTGGGCCTGAAGGTGTGACTGAA